CGCAGCCCCGACGGCTCGCCGCAGGCACCGTGGAGAGGCCGGGGTACCACAGATTGATGGAGTTGGACAGGAGAGGAGGGCGAGGGGAGTCCGAGGACGGCCGGAGGATGTCCAGGGCCGTCGGGGCCCGCAGCAGCCACGGCACCCCGAGTGCGGGGGCCAGCTCCGGGGTCCTGATGGTGGGCCCCAACTTCCGCGTTGGCAAGAAGATAGGCTGCGGCAACTTCGGGGAGCTGCGCCTGGGTGAGCCCTCCAGGGCGGGCAGTGGGGTACGCAGACAGCCCGGGAGCTGTGCCTGGGGAGCCCCGCGGGGCAGGGGTGGGGTACGCAGACAGCCCGGGAGCTGTGCCTGGGGAGCCCCGCGGGGCAGGGGTGGTACAGCCCGGGAGCTGTGCCTTGGGGAGCCCCGCGGGGCAGGGGTGGGGTACGCAGACAGCCCGGGAGCTGTGTCTTGGGTAGCTCCTTGGCTGACGGAGGTGGGGTGCTGAGGCACAGCCCGGGGAGCTGCTGGGCTGTTCTGGCCCTGGGGGGCCGGGAGCGTGGCACCTCTGCACACCTCTCCAGAGGCCAGCTCTGCGGAGGGGCCGGCGGTGGCCGGCTCTGCCACCAAGAGGCCGCAGTGTCTGGGCAGGAAGCCCTGCCTGCCCCGTTTCCCAGGGGGACGGCCTGTCGTGTTGGTCACCACGGCTAGCAGGGTCCATGCCAAGGCCCACTCTTGCATGGCTGTCTCACAGCGCCTGTCACCAGGCCTCTGTCGCTCCTGGCCACACTGACCACCCTATCCAGCGGCAGCACAGTGCTTCCTGGGGGCGCGGACTGGAGACGGAGCCCCACAGCCAGGGCGGCCTCCCGGGCACTGGTGGCCACTCCCGGGCTGTGGGCTCGGCCCACAGCCTTCCTTGCTGGGACTCCAGGACCCAAGGGCACACACTCACCTGCCTTGGTCCTTGTGACGAGGTGGCTGCTGCTCACAGCCTCGCCCCTCCCTGCCTCCATTTCTGTGCACAGGTCCCAGACCGTAACACGGGGACTCGGGTGGCCGGCATGGGCCCTGTCCTCGGGCAGTAGGAGTGCTGGCCCCAGTGACAGAGAGACCCTGCTCAGCTCGGCCGCAGTGTGGCAGTGGTGGCAGGAGCTAGGTGTGCTCTGGAGCACAGCGTGCAGTGCTAGGCATGGGTCACAGCGCACCCGAGGAGCTGGCTCCGGCCTTTGGGCTTGTCGGGGTTCCTGTCGAGTGTACTGGGGCCAGCCAATGCCACGGTGGCCCCAACAGCTCGACCCCACGTGGCCAGCTCTGCAGTTCGAGTCGGAGACCTAGCAGGCTTGTCTATGTGTGTGCCCAAACCCAAGGGGGGGCCCGCGGGCGGCATGGTGGGCTCAGGTACTGGGCTCCCACGTGACTGTAAGCCGAGGCCTAGACCTGGCAGCTTGCTCGGAGTGAACGTGTCCTCTAACACGGTTTTAAAATAATAGTAAAGATCATTCTTTTTATTTATTTATTTAATTTTTTTTGAGGTTTTTGCTATAGGGCGCGTGCGCTCGCCAGACAGAGAGACAGAAAGTGAGAAATCACCTCCAGGGGAGATGGCCACGCCGCATTCCCTTCTCCTCCGTTTTCCTCTTGGGATCTTGGGCACACAGGCACACACGCCTGGCTTAAGTTTAAGCTACTGGGTACAGGACTTGAACCGCGGTCTACTACATGGGAGTCCAGCAACATAGCCATTATGCTAACTGCTGGTCCTGATTTTTATTTTCTCTATGGTTGCCAAACATCCTAACCAAATAACCCAACCAAATATTTTCTCTAAGTAATACTTTAATTTTAAAAATTATTTATATGTTTGAGTCGGGATCTTGGGCGGCACACACACGTGCCCGGCGTGAGTTTAAGCCGCTGAGTCCGGGACTCCACCCGACAGCTGCGTGGCCGTCAGCGTGACCACCATGGGCTGCTCGCCCCGCCCCCTGTCTTTCCTGCGGGGTTCCTTGGGCTGCCTGGGTGTGGGTGTCAACTTTGTCATTACATCAGAACAAATTTTAGTTCTTTTTCCTTCAAGTCTCTTTTTCTCTCTTTAAATATTTTCTAAATTATTATTTATTCAATTTAGTTAACTTATTTAAACTAAACCAGAGAGAGGGAGGGAAGTGAGAAAGCAAGCCGCCAAGTCTGAGGTTCACATCGCAGTCGACCATGTGGGGGTCCACCACACCACCTGCCAGACCTTCCCTTTAAATGTTTTTATGTTCATTCTTTTTATTTATTGTGCGCTCACCAGAAAGACAGAGAGACAGAAAGCGAAAAATCACCCCCCCAGGGGAGCAATCCCTTCTCCATTCTCCTCTCGGGATCTTGGGCACGCATGCACATGTGCCTGGGGTGAGTTTAAGCCACCAGACTCGAACCACAGTCGGCTACATGGGAGTTCAGCAACAGCCATTACGCTAACTGCTGGTCCCCTTTTTTTTATTTTTAAAAGATTTATTTAATTTTATTTATTCACTTATTTTTTCATTTGACCAGGGAGAAACAGAGACAGAGAGAGAAAGTGAGAAAGCAAGCCGCCAGGTCTAGGATTCGAACCATGGTTAGCTGTGTGGGAGTGTCCAGCACCTTAACCACCATGCCACCAGTGCTGGTCCTTCTTTTTTTGAAGTTGAATAGAAAGAGACAAGGAAAGTGAGAGCGAGCTGCCAGACCCAGGACCCAGCCGCAGTCAGCCCGGGGAGTCGAGCCCCGTAACCAGCAGGCCACCTGCCGGCCCCTTCCGCTGATCCCTCATCTCCAGCGTCACGTGTGCTTGGGGCAGTCCGTGCCATCCCAGACGCCCCTAGGTGCTCCTCCGTCACTTTTCTCTTTACAGGTTTTTGCCACGGGGCTGGGGCACGCTCACACACGCCGGTGTAGTCTCCCTGCCACCGCAGTCCGGCGACATAACGGCAGGACTCGGGCTCTGGCCCAGCCACGGTGCCCTCATGCCACCTGCTGCCCCGCTCTGGCCGTCAGCCTTCCGCCCTCTGGCTTTGTCTCTTCATTACTCCTCTCGCTTTTACTTTTTCCTCTATTACTAGAGGGCAAGCGTGCTCACCAGAGGGAGAGCAGAGACCCTTGAGTGGGGTGCAGTCGCGCCCCAGTCCCTCCCCCCGTAGGGTTTTGGGCATCTATGTACGTGTGTGTGCACTCCGTCCGTTTTGTTTCCTTTTGTTTTAGAGTTTTTTTCTATAGCGTGCATACGCTTGCCAGAGAGACAGAACTCACCCCTGCAGGGGATGGCCACGCCGCAGTCCCGCCTCCTCCATTCTTCTCTCGGGATCTTGGGCACGCGCGCATGCACGCACACACGCACACGCATGCACACACACACGCACACACCTGGCTTGAGTTTTAACCTGCCTGGTCTGGGGCTCGAAGTGCGGCTGACTACATGGGAGTCCAGCCACATAAACATCATGCCATCTGCTGGTCTGTGCTGTGCCTGTTCTGTAAGCTGCTAGACCAGGGTTTGGACCGGCCTGCTGCTCGGGATCTGGCTCCCTGGGCCTCTGGCATGGAGACAGCGCGGTGGTTGGTCGCCTGTGTAGGTCCACTTCCCTGCAGTGACAGCCCACTGCGTCCCTCTGAGGGGCCCGGTCCCCGGTTCCGCTTGCTCCCATCCACTTCCGTTCCCTCGAGGAGATGGCCCATCCGCTCCCTTTGGCGTATTTCCCTTTAAGGCCGCCGACCTGCCCTGAGGACCCGTGTTCTGCTGGTTCCCGGGCCGTAGTGGAGGCCTCATCCCCGGATGGGAGGCAGGCAGAGCAGAGAAGCAGGCCTGCTCTTCCACGAGGCCACTCCCGGGGTGAGGCCCATCACGCGAGCCCCGCACGGTTTGGAGCCCCCGTCGGTCCAGGGCCAGTTTGAACTGCAGCATCTGAATGCTTGAGTCATCCTCCGTGTCCCTGCCTGCACCAGCCGGGTGACATTTCACTGTGCTCCTCGTGTTCTGTCCCAGAGGCTCACTGCAGCCTGGCAGGTGGGCCTGTTGAGCAGGTCTCAGATCGCAGGCCGCAGGCCGAGGGGCGCCGGGGACTCTTGCGTCATGTGCACCCACGCACAGCCAGAACTGACCAGGGCCTTGAGGCCCTGCACCCAGCGGGGTCTGTAACACACAAGCCGCCCACGTCCCACTCGCGTGCTCCCCTCGAACCCAGAACCCAGGCTTGGCCTCCGGGAGTCGTTGTCTCTCGGGTCCAGATCCGCAGTCAAGGTGGGGCGGAGAGAGGCGGGGAGCGAGCGCTGCGGGGCGGGCAGGTGGGCGGGGCCTCCCAGTGCTCCTGGGGGATGCAGAGACCCCTTGCGGCGCGCTCCCCCGTTGGGGCTCAGGATTCGTCCTCCCCGCGGCCTGCTGGGGCTGCCGCTGTCTGTTTCTCGCAGAAGAAATGTACAGACCAGAAAAAGACCTGCCAGGAACGGGATCCACTGACACGCTTTGGACACTGCACCGAGGAAATGAAAAGGGACCCTGGCTGCAGGAGCTGCCCTCGCGTTCAGCATGCGGCCTGAGACGCAGGGGCAGGCGTGGGCAGCCGGGCGGGGGCGGGGCCGAGACGCATCAGGCCCCTGGTCAGCTTGTGGGCTGGGCTTTGCGGCTTCCCGCCAGGCTGCAGACACTGGAGCCCACTGCCCGGGGTGGGTGATGTGGAGGCCCGCTCAGCCGCGCCCCGCAGATGGAGCATCCGTGGGAAGCCCTGCCTGCACCCAGAAGACCTGTGCCTGACCCGCAGCCTGTGCGTGCACCGGGCAAGCTGTGGACACAGGCGGCTCACTGGGCAGGCTCCGGAGCCAGGCCTGGGGGGCCGTGGCCAGCTTAGCCTCCAGGGGAAGTTCCCTGTCCCCAGATTGCTGTGCGCACTGGGTGGGCTCGGGGTTGGCTAGCTGAGCTTGGCCCCTGGGGTCAACCCTGTGCTCCCAGTTGGCACCGTGCCCAGGGCAGGCTTGGCCCCTGGGAGGCAGTCCCATGTTCATGGTTAGGGGTCGTCGTGTGGCCGCAACTGTGGGACTCCCGGGCTTGGACCCCCTGAGAGTGGCTTCCTGAGCCCTACCCTGACCGTCGGAGGGGCAGCAGGCCTGCTGGAGCTGTAGTCTGAGTAGACACAGCGCCGCCGGCAGAACGGCACCCGGCAAGGGTCCTGACTGGGCCATGACGGTCAGGGGGGTGCTGTAGGCGCGGCTATGGCGTGGGCGTGCATGTGCGTGCCCGACGCTGGGAAGGGTTCTGGGCCAGGTCACCCAGCCGATGGTGGCCGCTTCCTGGCTCCAGGTGACAGCCTGGCAGGCGGCCGCACTTGTGTTGGTGGATTTGTGGCTTGAGGCGGAAAGCCCCTTTCTCTCCCGGTAGATGAGGGAGCTCAGGGAGGCCCGCGGGCTTCTGCCCAGACTCCCCACCTGCTCGGGAAGGGGCCCTGGGGTAGTGGTTGGGTGCATGCAGGCCTGGCTGGCTGCTGGCTGCTGTCCTCACGGGCCTCTCTGTCCCCACAGGGAAGAACCTCTACACCAACGAGTATGTGGCTATCAAATTGGTGAGTTGGCCCCCAGCCCCGCGTGGCAGACTGGCCCTGGCCCGGCCCGGCCCTCTGCCCCCCAGGAGCCGATCAAGTCCCGGGCCCCGCAGCTGCATCTGGAGTACCGGTTCTACAAACAGCTCAGCGCCGCAGGTAGCGCCCGGGCAGCGGGGTGGCCGCCAGGAGCGTCTGCGGCACGCCCTGCCTGTGCCTGTCCCCCCTGCAGAGGGCGTCCCTCAGGTCTACTACTTCGGCCCGTGCGGGAAGTACAACGCCATGGTGCTGGAGCTGCTGGGGCCCAGCCTGGAGGACCTGTTCGAAGTACCGGTTCTACAAACAGCTCAGCGCCGCAGGTAGCGCCCGGGCAGCGGGGTGGCCGCCAGGAGCGTCTGCGGCACGCCCTGCCTGTGCCTGTCCCCCCTGCAGAGGGCGTCCCTCAGGTCTACTACTTCGGCCCGTGCGGGAAGTACAACGCCATGGTGCTGGAGCTGCTGGGGCCCAGCCTGGAGGACCTGTTCGACCTGTGCGACCGGACCTTCACGCTCAAGACGGTGCTGATGATCGCTGTGCAGCTGGTGCGGGCTGGTGCGGGCGGCCGGCCCTGCCGGGGCGGGGCGGGCGG